ATATTATACATTATATTAAACTATGATTTCCTCTCAAGTATCAGCGGCGAAGCCTTTCTTTGGCCTCAGATCGTCAGGCAGTTCTCTGATTTTCTCTCCAACAAATCGAGCCATATTTCTTGCCATCGTTCTGGTTTTCAGCTTTTAGCTTCTGGATTCGGATCAGGTCTGAACTTTGGCAAAAACATTCCGACGTTCTGGAGATTTAACCGTTTTTCCACCGATGTGTCTGCAGATCATCGGCACCCTGCAGCTTCCACTGCCCGATTTCTCCATCGACAACCAGATCTTTTCCTTCTGAATCCTGTTTTTCCACTTCATAAGTCAATCAAGACTTTTACTGGAAGAAGAAAACTGAATTTATTTCCCCTATTTGCAAAAATTTCATTTTTTTGCTAGTTAAACACCAGAGTTTCCCTCCAAACAAAGCAGGAAAGTCGAGTACAGGACAGAAAATAAGATTATTATTCTTGTTAAGTAGCATAAAGTGATTTACTGGCATGAATTAGCTAATCGATTGGATTAACTAATCGATTGGATTAACTAATCGATTGGATTAACTAATCGTTTGGATTAATTAATTGTTTAGCTAATATCTCCATGCAAAAGAAAATACATTTGTTTTATGAAAACACGCCAATTTTGAGAAAAATTATACTTTTCGAAAAAAATTTTAAGGCATATCAATAATCAATATATCGATAGTGGGATGTTACTACTGGTGGAAACACCAAAGAAGATGACAGGAAGTAATAGGAGGATGATTGTTTTATTTTCACAGTGTCACACAATTCATAAAAAGTTGTTATTCCAACAAACAATAAGAAATAAATCCATAAATTGGTCCATTTTAATTCATCACATGATAAATTAAAATGGACCAAACAATTTATTGTTTTTCTCTTTCTAACAAAAACTGGATGATAAAAGTTTCAGTCTGAAGCTTCAATCTCAACAAAACATTTTTGAAGGATAATTTAGTTCATAACTCATTATATTTGCTTTGAACATTTAAAATGTCTTCTTGCATTTTTATGCCATTAATATTATATTAGTTGAAAATGGTCTCAAAATAATATAATCACAGTAACATCTGGGACCATTTATCACTCAGGAATATTTGTTATGGTGACAGGATTATTCTCACACGATGAATCAATATTTCTTTTGTAAAATGGCCGACTGCGGTTCCCCAAGACGCTCCCAGGTAGGAGCTGATTGTTGCTCCAGCGCCTGATGAAGTCAAGTCTCCCACAGAGACGTGATGGAAACGCAGCGATTGTTTGTTTTGAAGGAAACTCTGCTGCACTGGTGGTGCGTTTAAAGACGGCCTGGACAATCCAGTTACTACATCTTAGCAACCAGTTAGCCAGTTGTAACAGTTGAAAACAGAGTGTGGGGATTTCCCACACGTACATCTGAACCAATGAGGCGCTAACGCTTCCCCTCCGTCTTGCTCTCTCTCTCCCTCCTGCAGCTTTTACAACAGCCTGAAGATGTGTGTGGACGGCTCTCTGCAGCGGAGCTGGTGCACGGGTCACACGTTCCTGGTGGACGGCGTCTTCCTGGAGGTCCACCAGGCGTTCTTCTCCCAGTGCAGCCAGGTCCAGGACCCCCCACTGCGCACCCTGCTGGTGTTAATCGCCCCCGGGGTAGTTATCACGCTCTTCCTGCCCTTTCTGTGTGTTCACCTCACCACCACGGAAACGGCTTAGAGCTCAATTACTGCCGAGTCAGCGTTTCACAGGCTGGATGTTATGTTTTCTGTCTTTGGTAATTAAAGGTATAAAATGCGGTTATGGAGCTCCAATTAAATGAAACTTAATTGGGAACTGGGAGTAACAGAAAGAACACCAGCATGGAAAGACTGGACAGCGACGCGTCAGTCCAACTTTATTCACCTTTTGTTGTAGTTTGGATCCTGATGGAGCCGCGGCCACAAAGTAAATATCTAACCCTTTCCAAACCCTTACACCTGCAGAAAACCCCAGAAACTGACCACCAACAAAAACTGACTTCACTCGAAAACAACAAAGATACTGAAAATGTTACAGCCAAATGTGGAAGCAACTTCTGTCGCTGTAAAATGGCCGACAGGTGCAACTGGCCTGAAAAAATAACACTTTGCTGGACAATAAATCAGAAATTACTGCAATAAATGACAATATAGTTGTTTTGAGACCATTTTCAGATAATATGATGGTAATGGCCATCTCAAAGATCAATAAACTTTAAATTATAACGAACATTTAACACTGGAACTGGAAGACATTTTAAATAAATAAACAAAAACACAAAATAATAAAATTAATTAAGAACTCTGTGCATCAAAGCACCAGATTTCAGGCTTTTATCTTCCAGTTTTTTTGTAAAAAGAGAAAAACAATAAATCATGCAAACGGAAATTAAGATTATTTAAGTTAATGATTAATAGTTTATTGCAACAACAAAACTGTAATCCAAGTCTGCTGCTGTAAACAATCATCTTAAAAATGATGATTTTTAAGATCATCAGAATAATTAACTGATCAATCATTCTGATGATTAATCGACGAGTCAAGTAAAAATTATTTCTCTCAACTCTCATATCTTGTGAAACATGAACGCAGAAATGCATAGGATGAAGTTCAAACATCACTTTTAGTGAAACATTAGAGCATGAAATATCATATTATATACATTATACTTATAATCTCTTTTTCCATGTCGGCCAAAATGTCGTTCATTGTATTTTTATTCTGTATTGACAGATAAAAGTTTGATTGGAACAAAAACCTGTTACCTGTTAGCATTCAGGAAGTAGCTGATGTTTCCCGCTGAGGACAGACACGTCACTTCCGTTCTGCAGATCACCCATTAAACTGAGATTTTCCGTTGAGTTGAAAATAGTCCCGCGTTTTGGAGCCTTTTTGCCAAAACCCGTCAGGTTTGGGAAACATGTTGCTGCTCCGCGGCGGTTTCCGCACGGAGTTCATGGTTCCTGCTGAAAACAGGAACATTTACGGAAAACAGTAATAAGGAGTTTGGTTTAAACGAGAAACTTAAGAGGAACGTTTTTTTCTCTAGTGGCGGATCTTTCCGTCTTGGCTAACAGCGCTTAGCATCCGTCCACGTCTCCTTAGCGGAAGTGAGAGAGGTGCGTAACACCAATAATCATCCGGCAGGAACACAGGGAGCTAATTAGCCAAATATTGTTTCAGCTGCGGAGGAGAGCAAGAAAATGAGAAGATAAAACAAATCTAATCAAATATTCATGCAGTCATTTATTTTAATTACATAGCTGTGATTTAATGTTAATTATTTTGTCAAAAAGGGCACATTTTGTTGATCTTACTTGTAAAGGAATAAAAAGATTTAAGACATAATTCAGCCTCATGTCTTTATTGACATGATTTGTTGCTTCAGGAACAAATTCATTCATTAATTACAATAAGCTTAATAATATGCATCTGAGTTTCTCTTTCTACCAAACACTGAATGATAAAAGTCTTCAGACCTTTTGTTGTTCTTGTTTACAGAGACCTAAAAAATGATTTGTTGTTTCTGAAGTTTTGTTTGGATATTTAAAATGTCTAAATGTCCATTAGAATTTAAAATGAGAATGTGTTCTTGCATTACTACACTGTAAAAACAACATTATCGTTTATGACGTTCACCTCTGACCCTAACCCGCCTCTGTGCTTTTCTTCCTACAGTTTCATTTCTTGAACATAATAAATAATAATAAACTATAAAACCTCTTGGTGTCCCAGGAACACGGATTAGGACAGAAGGAAATACTTCAGTGTCACATCATTCATCTTTATTTCAGACAAAAAATAACAAAGAACAGTTGTGAACCGTCTTTACAGTCATGGTGACTGAATGAATGAATGAATGAATGAATGTGCATTCGTTCATCTCTGCTGCAGTTTGTGTCATGAGGAAGAGTTGTGTTTACACATCAGGCCTTCGCTCAGAGTGATGAAGGTCGATTGGACCCGACCCAGGTGACCCGACCCAGGTGACCCGGGTCGGGTCACCCGGGGTCGGCCGTCTGGTTGCCGTGGCAACGAAATGTGGAGAAGTGACATCATCCCCAGCAGAAAATTTAAAGCAGTTTCTTTTCATTGCTGGTATTTGAACATGGATGGGCTCCTCCAGCTGACCTTTGACACACAGGCCAGCAATCAGGGTTTCCATGGTAACCTGGATGCTTGTTAATCTGATTGTTTGTCATGATTCTGACTGAATGTCGGCCAAAAATAAAATCATAATATTAAATGGTGCTATATATAGAAAACACTGCAAAATATATATAAAAACTAATAAATTATATTTAAAAAAATAATGCATCATAATTTATTAGAGTAAATTGTTAAAATTATTCTTTATACTTTTAACAAAAGTATAAAGAATAATTTATACTTTTGTTATAATTATAAATAATTATAACCATTATAAAATAATAATTATTATTTTTATAACTTATTGCAAATTAGTTAAAAAATGATGCATGATAAATCATCAAAATAATTTATTTGAACACTATTATAATAAGCAATAATTATTTTAAAGTATGTTGTAATAATTCATATCTAATTATAATGATTCTTATAGTAATTATGAACTTATAATTAAAGTAATTGAGTACAATTATATTAAATGTTATAATTTATTTTGTCAAATAAATCGTTTATTTTTCACATAAATATAGGATCATTATTTTAATTATAAATTATCAGATGAGAATAAAATCTAAATATTGTCCAAATAAAGTCATTAAAAGACAGAAATAAATTCATAATAAAGGATGAAGTCAAAACAATGAGGATGAAGTGGGAATACAGCCAGAAAAAGGTCAAATATTAGGAAAATGAAGCAGCAGTTTTATTAGAATTTCATAAAGAAAAAAGATTTTAAGTTTAAATAACGTTTTACCTCAATTTGACTCATTTAATCTTTTAACACGTCGGCATCAGATTATCAGTTGCAGCAGTTAGAAACAAACGAGTTTATTAAAAAAAAACATCAGATTTTAATAACGCCTTTTCTCAATAAAACCATTTTTTGTGTCTTTATAATTAAATTTTTTTAAAAACTTAGACTTTGGCCCTGAAACTCCCCGGCTGCAACTTGTGGGCTGTAATATTTATATTCAATATTTTACTGACTACTAAAATAAACAATTTAATCATTTTCTAATTTAATAAAAAGATTTGCATATTAGTTTTTTTAAATGAAAAATATCTTAAAAACAAAGAAAAACATGAAATAACTGAATATTTCCTATAAAATGTTCTACTTTTATGTAACAATTTACACAGACTTTAATTTCAAACAGAGATTTAGCTGCTAGTTTTCATTTATCTGAGAAAAGTTCAGATTTAAACATTAAACTAATAATTACAAATGAAGCCAGTTTGTTTAAAAGCTTCTGGATGTTTTTAAATGAGGGGCAGGAGGCCTGGATGCAGCTGAAATGTGATTTAACTTCCAGAAAAGTGACATTAAGCTGTGATGAGCAGAACGGGAGGAACCCGGTGAGGTCCGATACGGAGCGGCTCGTTTCCAGCGAACGCACGCCGCGGCAGGTCTGAGCTCCGCTGCAAAGATCAGTCATAAACCGCCATGCCTCACTTCACAGGAAACGGCGAAACGTTGCCTCTTTAATCTGGTCATCGCTCACTTTATGTACACAAACGGTCCGACTGGTGCTGGGAGTATTTACAGAGCAAAGGTCAGTTTCCCCTGAGACAGAAACCCTGCAGGCTCAAATGAAGGAGGGCAGTAAAGACACACAACGTCTTTATGAGACAATATGTTTGATTTGAGCGAAATCTGGGTTGTTAAAGAGTTCAGAAAGAGTCAGAGCAGAAAATAACTTTAAATATTCAGTAATTTGTAGATTTTCCACAGAGAAAGAAACAAACATTAATTACTATCACAGACTGGGATAATAATAATAAGTTAGCTGGGATTGTTGTGTTCAGCTGAACCTTATTAGCAATGCCAGTGTTAGCACATTAGCTAACATTAGCATTACTAGCTATCCAAAAAGCTGCTGGGTTTCAGATCATAGGGTCACAGTATGAAGAACCAATGAAATAACGTCCTGATCTGAGGCACTACTTCCTGTTTTCAACCTGCTAACTTTGCTGCAACTCGGAGCTAACTGGTTAATTTGTGCTAGCAAAGAAAACATTAGCATATTAGCCATCATATTGACATTCTCTTGTTGAAATTGTGTAGAAGGTTGTAGCGAAGCAGCTTGCAGTTAGCCGCTCAGGCTAACGTCCTGGAGCAGGTCCTGATGCTCATTACGATTTTCTGCTGACATGGCTTTTTTCGTAACATTACATCAAGTGATTAGTAAAAACAGCAGAACTGCAACTGCTTCTCAAGTTGTGCAACGAGTTCTTTGCATGAGGGCGTGTTGGACACAAAAACCAGGAGGAAATGTTCACCAAAAAATCCAGAAGTTTTGAGATTAATCTCTGAAATTTTCTACAAAAATGTAAATTTCTGAGTATTAAGTTGAGAATTTTTAACTTTTTAAACTCAGAAATGTAAAAAAATTTCTAGAAGATTTCTGAAATTATTTTTTTTTAAATTCTGAGTTTGAAGAGTCAAAAATTTTCTTGGAAAAAAAAATGCAAAAATGTTTAAATAAATCTCAAAATTTTCAAATGTCGACGAATTTTGATGTTTGAAAATCTGAAAAAGTCAAAAATTTGCTTGAAAAAAAATTTTTTTTTTTGGTAGAAAAAAACTGAAAAATTTCCAATCCCAGATCTCCAAATCTCTTCATTTTTTGACAGAAATGTGCTTTTTCTCCATCTACTGTGGTATTAATACAACGCCGTCTTTCTGAACCAGATTTTTTAAAAATAGATTAAAAGATCAGAATATAAAGGTCACTGTAAAGCAGAAATATTGTGACTTAATCCACTAAATTCCCACCAAAACCTTTACAGAACAGTTATGCAACAACAGATTGAATTTAAAAATCAGTCTTTTTTGTCCCAGTAACTTTTCGCTCTTTCTGTCCTTCCACACAATTCAGATTTTGACTGAATTTTACACAAAATCAACAGAAAATAAACAGAGTAGAAAGTGAAGGTTGGTGGGTGTGAGTTCTATATTTATACGTTCAGGAGTCGAACTGCTAACAGATTCCCTCTGAGTTTCCACCAGAAAACGACATTTAAAGACGGACAGGAAGTTCAGCTGCAGAACTTGGTTTCTAAAAGTGAAAGTGATCACGGCAGTACGGAGCTCAACTACAGGCAGCTCTGATTTCTCCTTCCAAGAAGAAAATAAATCATGTTTGTTTCCCCATTGCACTTTTCCCCAGACCTGCAGAGAACTTAAAGGGACAAAAGGATCCAGAAACGTTGAAGCGTCTGATTTCTGGGTGAAAACGGAGCCGAGGTTCGTCTTCATCCAGCGCGTGACGCGGTTCTGTCCGTGTGCTTCGGACCGGCGGCGCCGCAGGAGGAACCGGGTTCTGCTCTTCAGACGAGCATGTGGATCTCGTTGTATTCGTCTCGCCCGTCTTCGTCAAAGTTGGGGGAGTCTTCATCGCAGTCCAGCTGCAAAAGAGAAATGGTCTTAAAATGAGAAACAAAATGGTGATTTTACACAAAAACCATAAAACTATGAAACTAATGAGGCTCAGTTATCAGTTTCATTTAAAAACCACATTTAACCTTAAAATGCTTTTTATTTAACCTTAAAATACTTTTTATTTAACCTTAAAATACTTTTTAAGCAGCGTTTGGAAAAACATCGTCCACAGAAAAACTTAAAAATTTGACCTTTTTTAAAACAAAACTCTGTTGATGGTGAATAAGAGCTCGCCACTGATTGGCTGGCTGCTGTGATGCGTCCTTTGGAGCGTTCTGATTGGTCCAAGTAACCTTGGTAACCAAGACCAATCAGTTTTCAGTCTGGACTGACGGATATTTTTACAAATTTATTCTTCTATTATTGAAACTTTATTACTGTACAATTTAACTGATAAACTTGTGAAATTCTTTATGATTAACAGGTTAATTGTTATATCTGTCCATGTTTTAAACATATTAGCATTCAGACTTTAACTTTATGCCATCACTGGTTGAAAAAATTTAGCATTAGCTATAAATTTTATATTAAAGATTAGATTCAAACTAAAACATAACGGATGATGAAGCTCATTAAAAGTCTGGTCAACAGTTCTAGCGAAGAGGTTTAATTTTTATTTATTATATTTCTAAAGTCACTGCGGCTCCAGAATGAATTTGGTGTCTTTATGGTTAAAAACTTGAAGAAAAATAAATATTTAAATCTAATTATCATGTTAAAGTTAATCTTTGTAATTCCTTAAAAAATTTCCAGTGAAGCAACAACATGGCCGCCGCTGGCTGCCAGACGTACCGCCTGCAGCTCGCGCTCCTCAAAGATCCTGGAGAGGACGAGGCGGCGCAGCGGCACGGTCATGATGAGGATGAAGGGGAAGGCCAGCGACGCCACGGTGGACTTCACCACCCACAGCGCCACGATGCAGGCCAGCTGGATGGCGGTGAACATGTTCATACGCCACGTCTTCACCTGAAGCACAGAACAGCCACAAGTTCTCTCCTCCAGCAGGGAAACAAAAATATGCGTTTCTGGCTCCATCTAGTGGACGCTGGGTGAACTGCTGTGAGTCTGAGGCCTCAGAAAAACATGTTTGTGAAATCTGACTCAAAAAACAAGAAAGAAATGTTAAAAAATAGAAACATTTTGTACTTAGATGAGGTAAATAAATTTGTCTGTAAATATGTTCCATCCTATGGCAGTTTTAGCTTCACCTGCCACTACAAGAAAGAAAATCTCCTGTTTATGCAGTAAATAACAACCTGTACTGATGTGAAGCAGAAAGTTCTGAACTTTCCCCTCAGTGGAAGGACTTTTTAGCTGCAGTTTAATTAAGTTAAAAATCCAAAATACTTTATGAAAAGGGGAATTAAATAAGAGCTCACTGAAGGAAAGATGTCTGAATTCTGAGCAATGAAATGTTTATTTTCTTATCTGCAACTTTTAATTATTTCCAACAATGTATATAAATGGTTAAACTTTGAAAATGTTGAGTGCATTTAGCTTCCCTTAATTAAAGTTAGCGCATTAGCATTAGCCTCTACTAAATGCTATGTTGGTTTAGCATTAGCTTCTGCCAAATACCACACTGCTATAGCACATTAGCGCTAACTTCTGCTAAATATTTTATTGGTGTTGCACTTCACCGCTAGCTTCTGCTGAGTACAGCAGTTATATATTGTACTGTTTACTAAATTTGTGTAGCGATTTAGCGTTAGCAGAGCTAATGTTCATGGTTAGTGCAGCTAACTCTTTAGCTAGCAGTTGAAAGCCACTCCTGACAATAATTAAAAATGGAGCCAAAGCTTCCTGGAGGACGGTTAACGAAGATCTGATTTAAAACAACCACTGCACCAGATTCACAGACGTCATGCGGCCAGGGATCTGGGTCACCTTGGTGACGTAGATGTGGTCCGGGTGGTGCTTGGCGGGAGTCACCATGAGCGTGATTCGTTCGTAGAGCTGGATGCCGGTCAGCGAGGTGACGCCCATGTAGAGGAAGATGCCGAAGAGGACGGCGAGCGGGATGTGGCGCAGGACGTCGGTCATCACGATGGACATGCCTGGAGCGGCGCAGGACAGTCACATGATCACACCGCCGAGCTGAACCCAGCCTGGGAGGTTCACAACGCTCAGCCTGATCATTCTGGGTTACAGCTCACAAACGGTAGAAACCCCGAAAGTTAAGTGGAAGGAAAAACTATTTGAAAAATAATGCAATTTTACCAATAAAACTTCTTTCAAAACAATTTTACAAAAAGAGAAGTGGTGTTGATTTTAGTTTGGCCCAATCTGTCTTACAGCTGACGAAAACCAAAGTCTTGGAAAATTAAGTGGAAGGAGAAACTGATAAGAAAAATTACATGTCTTAGGAAAATTAGGGCAATTTCACCAGCTGGTTTTTATATATATTAATGTTAATAATTTTGTTCCACAGCTGCCAAAAACTAAAAACCTGGAAAGTTAAGTGAAAGAAAAAATTGTGCTAGTAAAAAGTAACATGTTGATGAAAAAATATGGATGAATTTTTCAGAAAAGGTGCTGAATTTTTTAAATTTAGGTAAATTTGACCTCCAGTCAACAAAAACTCTCTTTCTCTGAAAATCTAATTTTTCCGGCAGTAGCATTAAATTAGTGGCAGAGCGCTGTAAAGACATTCCATCCCCTTATATTATTATAGGAAAATTGAGTGGAAGGAAGAGCTGTGCTGGTTTCTGCTCACCGACCAGCACCGCCACCAGCAGGCCGGTCAGCCGCTGCTCCTTCACCTCCTGGATCATGGGCTTCTCGCCGGGCGCCGTGGCTTTGCTCATCACCGTCAGCGCGTTGACGTGCGTCACGGAGCGCACCGTGGCGGCGGTGAGCCACGGCAGGCCGAAGAGCGGGCAGACGGCACCGAGCACGACGATGAGCAGCAGGTCCAGGTGGAAGCCGGAGCCTTTCATCAGGCGGCGCTCCTTCTTACTGACGATCAGCCTGAGTCCAGAAAACCAGAGAAAAATGAGCAGAAAGGGCAACAATGGCGAATCAGGGCCGAAAAATACCAACAGATATCAGAGAAAAGACTCAGGAACTCAGGAATATTAAATAGACCTGGAAAATTCTCAGTTTCAAAAGTCGAAGATTCACTTAAAAAAAACAACAAAAACAACTAAACAGAAATCATTAAATCAATTTCAGAAATTTTCTAGAAAAACAAACCTGGAAATTTTCAAGCTTCAAAAAGCTTTTAAAATAAATTTTTATTACTTTTTTAGATAATTTGTTAATCCCAAATTTATAAAGTTTTTCTATCAAATAAATTTTTTGACTTTTCAATCTCAGGAATTTCCAAACTTTTTACGCAAATTTAAAACTTTTGGAGTTCAGAAATTTCTTCTTTTTTTCTGAAGAATTTCTCAGTTTAACTTCCAAATTTTGTTATTTCGCACAAATGTTCAACTTTTCTGGAAAAAACTTGAAGATACATGAGATTAATGTCAATATTTCTGAGTTTTCCGTCTCCATTGGCCCTGAAACGAGTCGTAAACATCCTGATGTGGCGCTAGGGAGACGCACGAGGTGATCTGCGTCTCCATGAAGATGAGGATGAAGACGAGGAGAGCGGGAACGACGGACGCTCCCATCATCCATGTTGGGAACGGCTGCTTGTCTCCGAACGGACTGATGAGCCAGCCTCTCTTGTCGGGAGACGTGACGGAAAACCCAGACGGCACATTGAGTTTCTGAAGGACAAACGTAAAGAGATGAGACCTTCGTCATGTCGACGGCGACGGACGCCACAGCGTGAGGTCACCTGAGTGTAGGTGTCAGGAATGGAGACATCCACCAGTACGGACAGCAGGATGGAGATGGGAATCCCGAAGTCGCCGATAATTCTTCTAGCCTGAGAAAGAAAAGCGAGAAAACGTCAAAAAACAGCAAATTATCCAGGATTATGGCAGCTGAACTGGTTAATAGGACCTTAATTTCAACTGAGTGAGGCAGAGAATCCCTCGTTTCCACTGATGATACGCTGCTTTATTCTAATACACAACATTTTACGCTTTTATGGCCTCATATGCAACGTCACAGTCCAACTAGTAGAGAAGACCGGCAACTAAAGAGCTAGCTGTGCTAACCTTACGGCGCTAATCATAGAGATTAGTTTCACACATGCTAAATGCTACACCAACATGGTGTGTAGAGGAAGCTAATGCTAAATGCTACACCAACATGGTGTGTAGAGGAAGCTAATGCTAAATGCTACATCAGCATGGTGTGTAGAGGAAGCTAATGCTAAATGTTACACCAACATGGTGTATAGAGGAAGCTAATGCTAAATGCTACACCAACATAGTGTGTAGAGGAAGCTAATGCTAAATGCTACACCAACATAGTGTGTAGAGGAAGCTAATGCTAAATGCTACACCAACATAGTGTGTAGAGGAAGCTAATGCTAAATGCTACACCAACATGGTGTGTAGAGGAAGCTAATGCTAAATGCTACACCAACATGGAGTGTAGAGGAAGCTAATGCTAAATGGTACACCAACATAGTGTGTAGAGGAAGCTAATGCTAAATGCTACACCAACATGGTGTGTAGAGGAAGCTAATGCTAAATGCTACACCAACATGGTGTGTAGAGGAAGCTAATGCTAAATGCTACACCAACATGGTGTGAGGAAGCTAATGCTAAATGCTACACCAAATGGTGTGTAGAGGAAGCTAATGCTAAATGCTACACCAACATCGTGTGTAGAGGAAGCTAATGCTAAATGCTACACCAACATGGTGTGTAGAGGAAGCTAATGCTAAATGCTACACCAACATGGTGTGTAGAGGAAGCTAATGCTAAATGCTACACCAACATAGTGTGTAGAGGAAGCTAATGCTAAATGCTACACCAACATGGTGTGTAGAGGAAGCTAATGCTAAATGCTACACCAACATGGAGTGTAGAGGAAGCTAATGCTAAATGGTACACCAACATGGTGTGTAGAGGAAGCTAATGCTAAATGCTACACCAACATGGTGTGTAGAGGAAGCTAATGCTAAATGCTACACCAACATGGTGTGTAGAGGAAGCTAATGCTAAATGCTACACCAACATGGTGTGTAGAGGAAGCTAATGCTAAATGCTACACCAACATGGTGTGTAGAGGAAGCTAATGCTAAATGCTACACCAACATGGTGTGTAGAGGAAGCTAATGCTAAATGCTACACCAACATGGTGTGTAGAGGAAGCTAATGCTAATGCTACACCAACATCGTGTGTAGAGGAAGCTAATGCTAAATGCTACACCAACATGGAGTGTAGAGGAAGCTAATGCTAAATGCTACACCAACATGGTGTGGAGGAAGCTAATGCTAAATGCTACACCAACATGTGTGTAGAGGAAGCTAATGCTAAATGCTACACCAACATGGTGTGTAGAGGAAGCTAATGCTAAATGCTACACCAACATCGTGTGTAGAGGAAGCTAATGCTAAATGCTACACCAACATGGAGTGTAGAGGAAGCTAATGCTAAATGCTACACCAACATGGTGTAGAGGAAGCTAATGCTAAATGCTACACCAACAAAGTGTGTAGAGGAAGCTAATGCTAAATGCTACACCAACATGGTGTGTAGAGGAAGCTAATGCTAAATGCTACACCAACATGGTGTGTAGAGGAAGCTAATGCTAAATGCTACACCAACACAATATTGAGGCTTCAAACGGACATTTTTTCATATTAAAAACGTTTACTGTGTTTATTTTTGATCTGCATGCATCTTGGAATCTCAAGAATCTTCACTTTCCCATTATTTATAAGATGTGTATATACACCAGAAGGATGACGCAAAAAACGCATAATGTGATGCTAACCTGTTAGCATAAACTCCCAACAGTTAGAGGTCAAAACTGTTACCTTTCCGCCCAGAAAGCGACTGTTTCTGAACTTCCTGAGGAAAAAAGCAACGAAGAAGGTTCCCATCATGAGCACCAGGGACAGGAGGGCCGTGTTGGGCTGGTTGAGGACTGGACCGTCTACGTCCATGGTGGAGTCCAAAGGGTAAACCGCCATCAGCGGATGCTCCTTAAACACCTGTAAGCAAGAAGATGCTAACACCGTTAGCCACACTGAGAGGGATTAGCTTCATAAGAGATATTCATCGTTTAGCTGTTGTTTGATTGTTTTGTTTATTTATTTTGGTTGCTTAATTTGTTTTACAGTCTTTGTAAAATTTGATTTAAAAATGTTTTTTACGCATTTGTTAAAACTGCCACCAAACCGTAAGAGTATGAAACATCTTAGTTACAGGAAACAATTTATCTGCTGTCACTGGTCGCTATGCTAGTTACAATAGCGAACAACGTCCCTATGCTAGCCTCGCTGGTTGCTAGCATTCAAGGTTATTTTAACTAATCATGAATGCTAGCCTGGCTTTCAAGGTTATCTCTCGTAAGTAAGTGTTAAAAGTAAAAATATGTCACCTTGATGAGCTTGGAGAAGGTTTCATAGATGAAGATGAGGGAAATGAGGAAGGCGAAGATCTCCTGGGTGAACGGTGAGATGTAGCGGACCAGGAAACTTCCCTCTGCCGCCACCATCACCAGAACGATGAAGATGAGCCAGAAGCCGATCCAGACGCGGCCGGTCAGGTACTCAAAGTCATACGCCTGACAGAACTGAGACAGACAAGGAGTTAGCAAGCTAACCAAAGCTAACAGATGCTAACCCACACTAACTTACACTAATTGATGTTAACTACCGCTAACCGATGCTAAAGGGGGCTAGCCCAATCCCAACCCCGTCACCTTGTAGAAAGCCTCTTCGAACACCAGCAGCGGTCCGGAGAAGCCGATGATGAGGAGCGGCTGACCGGCCAGCAGGGAGAAGATAATCCCCAGCGTCGCTGTGGAAACAATGAGCTCGGTCACGCCCATCAGGCCTTCGGTTTTCTCCCCTGGAACAAGAATCAGAGCGGAGGAGCATCAGCGGCGGCGCATCGCGCGTGTGGTGTGGTTGCTACGGCGACCAGGATTACCCAGCAGGCCTCCGAACGTGATGGTGGGCGACAGCGCGGCGAAGTAGATGAAGATGACGGCGGCGACGCACTGCGTGTCCAGAGCGTCCCGCAGGTCGCTGACGTACTGCGGGTAGCGGCGGCGCACGTCGTGGATCAGGCCCCCGAACGGGACGCCTGAGCGCTTCAGAGGGTCCACTTCCTGTTCCGCCTCCTCCTCTTCCTCTGGACTCGCCTCGGCTGCAGGGAGGAAGATGCAGGGGAGTTCAAGGTGCGGCGCGCGGGCCTTTTAGACACTCGATACGAAAATAGAACAGTCGATACATGAATAAGGAAATAACTAAGAAAGGATGGAAAATTAATTTAATAAATGAGAAAAAGTTTAAAAGGGGAAAAATAGCAACAAACAATCAAAACTAATAAGGAGAAACAGTTTAAATTAATAAAATGATAAAAACAAGAGAAAATAAATGAAAAAAAAACCGAAAAAAATAAATAAGGATATAAAAAATGGAAAAAAAAGAGAAAATAAATAAATAAAGCAGTAATAAGTGAGAAAATACATTTTAGAACAAATAAAAAAATTAAAATTCATGAAAAAATGTGAAAATAAAACTGAAAATACATAAAAGACAAAATAAACAAATAAGTGGGGAAATAAATCGGTAACTGGGTGAGGAAGTGAAGGTGCCTGCAGGGGGTTCTGGCCCGGTACCTTTGCTGTCCTGCTCCGCTCCGTGAACAGACTGGAGCTTCTTGCCTTCTCGCTCCCTCCTCTTGCGCAGCAGCTGCTTCTGGAAGTCGGCCACCGTCTTCAGCAGGTCTTTGCCCTCCACGTCCGACGGCGGGATGACGATGCTGCAGTCCAGGAACTCGTTGATGCCGTTCAGAAGGTCCTGCCTGTCGTCTGCGAAGTACGCCACCTCATGGAAGTTCTGCAGCCAAATAGAACCGGACCGGACAGCAATGAGACAATATTAACAGTAACATGTCCTGGATTACACCATCACTTTTTGGAAAGCACTGCTAATCCACCTCCTTTGCTTTTGCAAGCTAAACCTAGCTAAAATGCTATGAATATCTTGCGTGTTGTCACAACATGATGAGTAACACTGGTTTACTCCACTCAGTATAAAATGACAATTTAAATCAAAATTAGCTAGGATGCTAACGTTAGCTTCAATGCTAACATTTGGGCAGTGAGTTGTGTCTTAAACGGAGTTCACAGGCTTTGTAAAATGAACCTTTTCAGACATTAGCGTGGCGAAGGAGCGTCCGATCTCGTGGTAGTCCACGTTGGACTGGCTGGGTCCGAGCAGGACGAAGAGAAACCGGACGGGGACGGGAACCTCCAGCACGGACTCCAGGAGGACCGCCTCGCTCAGCCGGACGAAGGCCATGGCGGGCTGCTCCAGGAACTCCACCGATCCTGAGAAACGACAACAAGACGAGCGGCTTTATCTCCGTCACCGGCAGCACTTTCAAAAATAACGAAACGCTTACCAACTAGAACAATGACGGCTTCGGCGTCTTTGGGAATCTTGGCGAGCAGCTTGAGGGACCTGGCAGCGGCTGGATGATGCTCTGGAGGCACAGGGTGGAGGGATTTCTAGGAAGGAAGAACAGCAGACAGGTTTCCCTCTTTACTGTCACATCCAACACGTGAGAACAGAATCAAAACCTCTTCCTACTGGTGCGTTTCTAGTCCTATTGCAAACCAGAAACTGCAAGCTAATAAGATCTTGCCTCACAAATCAGCCCTGTGCTGCTGCTTCCCCACACGGCTCCTTCAGACTAGCCAGCAGCAATTAGCAAACACCTTGTGTGGCATGTATGCTATCACTAGCATGTTGAATATTTATTTTCTCTGTTCAGTATGTTAAATTGAAACTTTATGTCAAAATTAGCTTAAACCCTAATGTTAGCATAACTGCTACTATTAGAATGCATACTATCACTAGTATGTTGATAAACTTTGACTTACTCAGTACAAACTACCGTAGCATACAAGATAAAAATAGATCATCTTCGAAGGTTAGCTAAGATGCTAACTTTGGAATATGCAGCGTTGGTAAAAATGTTGTTAAAGGGTTAATATATGAGCCATGTTGTAATGACTTTCTTAAGGTGGAGTTTCTAAAAGAGCAGAAGCTTCTTAAAGAGACACAGCCCTAATTTCAAGGCATAGTTACTGGATTCTGCTATAAAATGCCTCAATGCAGATGGAGAACAAATTGTACCGGCTCTTTAATTCTTACAAAGAGGCTGACGAAGACGTCCTGCTTCGGGTCATACACCGGCCCCTTGTCGTCGTTCTCCTCGGCCACTAGGGGCCGGCTCGTCTCCTGGACGTGGTTGTGGTTGAAGCTGCCGTGGAGACTGGCTGATGACTGGTGGCGGTGAAAACGGTGCTTCAGGTCGCTCGGGTGGCTGCAGAGGAATCAAAGAAACCAGAATGAAGAGTCAATGAAAAGCAAATATGACTCCACTGTCAGGATCATCCTGTTCTTTGACTTTGAGTTGTTTCCTAGGACCAGCAATTCTTTCAGACGATGTTCTCGTCTTCTCAATAAGACATTGCCAAGATGCCCGGATCCTTCTTCTACGGTGGCCCAGAAAGGCCAACAAAGCCACAATGGAAGTCATGCTTATAAATGAAAGTTATGCTAAAATGCAATTAGTGCTTAAATGGAGTTTATGCTAAAACTGAAGTTATGCTAATAGTAAATATGTGCAAGAAATGGAAGCGATGCTAAAAACAAAAGTTTACGTTTAAGCATAACGCAGGCTAAAAGCAATGTTATGCTAACAAAATCTTTTGCTGAAATTGAATTCATGTTAACATTGAACTTGTACTAAAACTGAAATTACAATAAAAGAAAATATATGCTAAAATTGAAGGCATGCTAAACAAATTACTGCAAAATCAGAACCAGTTAAATGGAAGCTACAGTAAGACAGAAGGGACCTTAAACTCTTCATCATGACTTCTGCTGTGGTTGTGCTTTTAGCTTTGGTATGTCGCTAACCCTTCCAGGCTACCGTATTTTAGCACAGAACCCATTATTATTATGACATCATTCATCATCTTTCTGATCCCAAAAATGTAAAATAAATTTTTCTTTAAGTATTTATTTCTGACCCAAATCCACGTAAAAACATCTCAGAGAATATCTGACTTATTTACACTAAAAACCTTTCTAGATGTTTACAGAGGTGCGAATTTGCAAAGAGAATTTAATTTTGACCTTTTACTGTGTGAAATAAATATCACTGTTTTGTCAACTTAAATAAATGAATGATATTGTTTTTATTTAGAGCGAAAGGTTTGGATAGCCTGAACCGAACAGAATCTCGGCTGCGTAACTTTAACATTCTTGCTCTTTGTGCGTCATGGTGATCACATCCCAGCCCTCCTGGACAGGAATTTTTCCCACTGGCTCGGGTTTTTCAGCAGATTCATTACATCACCACTGGGTTACATCACCGCCATCATGAGGTCCACATGGCCCTGTAAGAGCGCCCGTGAAATTGGACGTGACATCGCCCCGAGACAAAAGAGCTCAAAGTGGGGCGCTAAGTCACACTGATGTCAGGCGGCTCCCTTTGGGACCATTATAGTGCTCAGAGAAATGAGCTGGATTTCAGCAGCACCTAAACGCGCCTCTGACCGAGTCGTAAATCTGATCCCTCCGGCCGGTGATGACTCTAACAGCGGCGTTTGTTTTTCCCAAACGAGCAGCCGCCTGTGACGCCCCGGGGATTCACGTGGAAGCAGAAATGAGCGCATGAAGACCAGCTGGTTTGTTTCGCTCCATCTGTCGAGTGCTGAAAGCAGCCAGCTAATTCTGCTGCAACATCACAGGCCTCAGCTGGCAGGTTAAAGGTTAAAGGTCATGAACCAGTCTGACTGTTTGGACAAGTTTAAGGAGAAAGCCTCTAATCTTTAGAAACAAGATGGCGGCAGGACTGAGGTCAGCAGAGCTGCTTCTGGACGACGACGTCCTCATGTCTCACGCTAGAAGGAAGCCTGAAGTTACTTCCTGTTCTTCACCTCCAGCAGTGGGAGCTGCTAGCTAACAAGCTAGCTGTGCTAACCCCAAAGCACTAATCAGAAACATTAGTTCTCCTAATGTTTAAGCACCAACACAGCATTTAGCAGGAGCTAATGCTAAAGCACTACATCAACACAGTTTTTATCAATAATATTTTATTTATAATGCACTCAAAGTGCAACAAAATGACAATAAGAACAATGACCAACGTAAAAGTGAAAGCTAATGATAAAATCACAATATAAACATGGTACTTAGCAGAAGCTAAAGCGCTATATCAACATGGTATTTAGCACAAGCTAATGCTAAAGCGGTAACTTCAATTCAAATTATTTCTGAGCCTCAAAGACTACAACACTCGAGCAACTACATAATTTTTACATTATAATTTACATTTCTGTAATTACCTTTGTAATTGTTTTCATATTTGTTCTCTACTGTCCATGTTTTGTTTTAGACGTTGAACTTTATTCAGCTGAAAGTTTACAGAGCATCAAAGTAAATCAGCTCTTAAAATGTATCTGGAAACATTAATTTAGGGGAAGCTAACTGCGCTGAATGTTTTCAAAGACAGCAGGTTGTGGCTTAACGCCAACAGTTGGTTTCCTCCAGTGTCACTGAGTAACTGTGTTCTGTTATGTAACAACGGATCGGATCGCAGTGGCTCCCAGAGTCATTGATCAGCTGAGTTTGGGACTCACTGATCAATAAGTTGGATCAGTAGAGAAAGCTTCGGATGATTTTATTGGATCTCAATCAGCATCATCATCTCATGATGTGTGAGTTGCATCCTTTTTTGGAGGAGTTTGACTTTTTCCCAGGAGGAAGAATCTGGCAAATATTTACTTGAACAAGGATCAGATGTCCTGCTGCTAAAAGGAAAAATCTTTTGCTAATTTTAAAATAAATGACTTGCTTCTCAGCGGTGAAGTGATGGAAGAAGGATGTGGAAGTGTCTCCAAGTCTGAATTTGTTAGCTCTTAAATTCGCGCTTTAGCATGTTTTGCTAACTTTAAAAAAAATTGTGCATTTAGCTTTCATCGTTTCCCGAAGCACAAACCATACAGAAAGGTGAGCAATGACACATTTTACCCTGTAGAGGGCAATATAACGTGATCTAACAACTGACACATGGTTTAAGTCAGTGCTTCTCAATTATTTTCCGTTACGCCTCCCCTAGCAAGAAGAAAACTATTCGCGCCCCCCATTCCCCACCGTGACTATCCATCTCTGCATAACATTTTTTCCTTATTAACATTTTTTCGCTGAAAAAACTCTAGCGGCTTATCGGCGTGATTGGGATGTAACGTATTTAAGTGACGCGCTAATTTATGTGGCTTCATGCTGTCCGCTGCGAGCATTTTTAGACACAGCAAACACAGCGGTCTTTCCTCTTCTCCAACTGTAGTCACAGTGAAGCCAAGCGCTAAATACGCTTCGTCGTATTTCCTCTTCTTAGCTTTCGGTTGACTTTCTGTTGTCTCATTATCTTTGTCTCTCTCCGCTTTTCTTTTCATCCCTGTGAAAAACTTTTCATGTTGGGGGTTGTTGAATAACGGAGGCCAGAGACAGAACGCAGTCGGAGCTTTTTGTTGACGTAACACTGCTAACCAAGGCAAACCTGTTGTCTTGTAAGTCGTAAAATGTTGCACTGTCGCAAACGTGACAGAAGTAACAATGAGAGCGCCACTGCCGCCTACTGTGCGCAATTACACTTTATACTAGTTCGGCCAAAAAAAAGCCTGTTCCCCAGGATCACACGCCCCCCCAGGTATCGCACCGCGCCCCCCAAAGGGGGCCCGCCCCACTATTTGAGAAGCACTGGTTTAAGTTAGCAATTTAGCATTAGCTCCTGCTAAATGCCATGTTGACATAGCGGCGCTTTTGCAAAACTAATGTTTATAATGTTTTGTGTTAGTGCATTTAATTTTTATCTTGTGTAGTGAAAATAGATCCTGGGAAACTGAAATACCTAAAAGCAAAGTTAACTGAAACGCTGTTTACCAAATGAGCCAATCCAAGAACCGCTTGGCGCTGACTGGCTGTTCCCATGAGGTCAGAGGTGCTAGCTTGCAGAGACGCTAGCAGTGCTCATCATGGTCTAAAATATTTGAAACAGAATCTCTGAAACGCCGAGACCCGGCCGGCTGACCTGTGTTTGAGAAGCAGCGCTCGCAGGACGCTGGGCCGGTCCTCCGCTCTGATCTGATCGGAGATGATCATGGTTTCCACCACCAGGTGGGCGATGCCGGGCAGAGTGTTCTGCTCCAGGTCCAGAAGGACGGCGCCTGGAAAACAGACGGGAACGAGTGTTAGAACTGGAGTCTGACAGGAGCTACAGGTTAGCACCACCTGGAACAGGAAGTAGCACTTTACCGTGTGTGATGGTGCGGCGAAGCTCCAGCAGGCTCCGGAACGACAGCGACGCCACATGAGGTTTTCCCCAGCGGTCCGTTTCCTCCTCCACGTCCTCCTCAAACTTGATCCAACGCGCTCGCTCCTTCCAGCGCATCTCCTGGTCTTTGTCCACGATGAGCTCGTTGAGCTCCACAAACAGCTGCGGAGCAGAAATATCCACTTTTAAACTCCGTAGAGACGTGAGAACGCATCAGAGCCGCCCTGAAAGGCCTCGGACCTCGTGGGTCTTCTTATCCGCCGCTCGCTTCTTCTTCTTCAGACTGGACAGCGGCGTGGAGCTCATGCTGGACCGCGACATCTGGCAACGCGAGGATTTCTTCACCAGGTGGCGCCGAACCCCAGGGTTGTCCTCAAACCTGTGGCCTGAAAAATCAAACGGGAATTAAAAGTCAGAGGCGCAACGATCTCAAAGTTCTTCACCAAAAGAGCAACTAGCAACAAAAGTTTTGTGTTTTTGTAGTTTTGTTTCTTCAAAATGGCAACTAGCAACAGATTTAGCGACTTTCTTACAGAAAACTGATTAGTGACAAACTCAGACATTTTTTACTTTTACAAATAAACTAGCGATAAATCTAGAGAAACTTTTTCTAAACAAGCAACAAATGTAACATTTTTTAAAACGAAGACGAGCAGAGAGTCGAGCTGACAGAAAAATATAGACAAATTTAACTTTTTCATATTTTTTCCAATACAGCTGTATTGATTTGTTTGAGTAGAAAATGCAGATATGTTGGTTTACCTATGGTAAGACATTTTGAATGAATGGTTGGATGACATGATAGCAACAATATTCCAGTTTATGAAAAAATTGTTTAAAAAATGGGAATATAAAGCAAATTAAAGTTCAAAGTCATTCACACTATGAAAAATGAATTTAAAAACAAACATTATTGACTAGAATCAATAATATTCCAGTTATTAATTATCTGTAGGTTGATCCAACAGCAGCAGATCTTTAAATTGATTTACAACAGAAATATTTTAAAGTGTATTCTCTGAGCTGCTGCAGGAATCAAAGCCTCTAAAGAGAAACGCTGGATGAGTTGAGACTTTAGTCCACTGAAACGTTGTGGTTGAAGGCCCACTGCCCACCGTCAGAGGTCAGAGGTCAGACTGATCTCTGGCCTCCAGCTGGAATAACTGAAGCTGTACGTTGACTCTAGATCTAAAACTCTAGATCTATTTAATCGTCTTGGTGTTTGAAAGGGTTCTGAGTCGTCTAGTGACAGTAATGAGTGACCTCATCGAACAGGAAGTGATCCGCGCCGTCTCAGAAGGCAAAATAAAACAAAATAAAATAAAGGGAGTACAAACTTTTCCTGTGAATAACAAAGTTCTGCTGAGTGGCAGAGTGAATCCATGTAGCAACAAACACCTAGCTGCTATGTTAGCTAGCAGAGAAAAGCTACATTTGGTAGTTCGGCAGTAAGTACTGCAGTAAATATACAGAGGTGAGTAGAGAACTAAGAAACTGTCATCAATTTATAGTTGTAATGTATCAATATTGTTGCTAGTTCTGAGCTTGTGGCTTACTTATTGCTGTCATAGCAACTGCCTACCAAGATGGCTGACAGCTACAAAGTTTATGATGATCATTTTTACTGATAATCTGGTTTCCTGTTTAAAAATGGCTCCATTTTACTTCCTGTTTCTGTTTCACACTTTGAAGGAGTAAAACCTCATGCTAATGTTCTGTGGGTCCAAACGGGAGCTTAAAAAGCAGAACCGCCGCGTCAGTCAATGAGATGTTTCCGCCCGGCTGCAGCTGACCCCAACAGGAGCCGCTGATCGATACCAGGCAGGAAGTCCCGACTCGATTCTGCAGCGCGCCTCATGAGATCCAAACCCATCATGGAAAGTCACTTCCTGCTCCATCGATCAGTCACGCAAAAATATCCCAGAATGCACCAGCACTCCAGGACAGTGATGTAATAGTTCCTAGTAATATGAGAGCTAAAACTACAGGCAGTAGTTTACACTCACTGAATCAGCAGAGGTCAGAGGTCATGATTCAGAAAGAGAAAAATGGCCTCCATAGGACAGAGTGAAAGCCAGAACCGCTGCTGACCCGGATCGACAAAACGACCCGAATGAAACGGAAAAACTCCTGAAACCTCAAATTCACATCTCATTTTAATAACGAGTTTTTAAATCTCGTTTAATGAGTTTTATTTTTTTGACAAGCTTTGCATTTCAGTTTGATTAGTTTTGCTCATTTAGTTTTCAAATTATTGAGTTTCTTAAAATCTTGTTTCGAGGAAATAGTTTCTAATTTAGGATCTTGTGTTGATGCTGCATCTAATTATGTGACCTATAAAGATGATTTGTAGAATTTCATTCATGGGCAACAGACACACCACACACTTCAGATGTTTCCTTCAGCTGCTCAGTCATCTGTCCGTTATTAACTTGGATCCTGCATGACGGAAACCACAGTTTCAGTGACTTCTATGTCTGCAGTCAACCAGAACAGCTGCAGCTGAGCTCGGCGGTGGCAGTGTGGTGATGTGGGGCTCTCCAGCAGAAGATATGGGAGGAAAATATGTCACTATTTTCTGTGACCATAAACTATATATGAAACTTATCAGCTACCCTATTTCTGAATAACTCACAAAACTAAGTTAAGGTTTTGGAGTGTCCTAGTCAAAGTCAGGAAGGTCCTGCTGCAAAACCCGCCAGTGAGGCCTAACTGAAGCTATTTTAGTGGGCGTCTCGTCCACAGTGGAAATCCCCACGGCTCCTGCTGGACGTTTTCCCTCCTAACGTAGGGAAAACTCGGCGGTTTGGACTCACGGCTTGACTCCTGCGGCGCCTCCATGTGGCTGTGGATCGACTCCAGCAGGTCGTAGTCGTCAAAGTCCAGAACAAACTCCTCAAAGTCCTCGAAGCCGTCCGCCAGGGAGAAGGAGCCCTGGCGCTCGTATTGCTGCGCGGCGGCAGCGGCGCCGAGGCCGCGCAGCGCGCTGCAGCGCCGCTCATGCTGCGCGTCAGAAGAGCCGCCGCCGCGGCTCGCCCGTCCCTCAAGGTCTGTCATCTCCAGCGCGCGTTCCGCCTGCCGGCCGCCTCTCCGCTATCGATCACTCTGATCATCCAGCGATCCGGACCCGCGAACCGAGCCGACACGCTGCGAGGGCGCAGAAACCAGAACCTGCGGCCCGCTGGGCGATGGGAGCTTGGAGGCCAGTCTGAAGGCCAGTTTGAGGCTGCGGGATGGAAACTGAGGTATTGATGCTGCGGTGGGGCGCCGCCCTCTTTTATCGACGGATTGGAAAACAGGGGAGCGGATCAGGGGAGGACACGGAACGACCTCTATTCCCGCTGCGCCTCTTTCCAAAACAGTTTCTGACACGCCGCTCTCATTGAAAAGCCAAAACAAGCTTCCATTCATAAATCCTTAAAGCTGAAGGAGGAAAGTTTCCCTCCTTCGGTTTGACGCCGTTGACTTCAGCTGCTGGAAATACAATAAATGAAACATTCACCAACTTATTGACGAGTATCTATGACTACGGAGATGGGACTCATCAAAATCTTTATTTCTTCTTCTGCATTGAAGACATCAAGCATTTGAGCTGACTCGTTGCTGATATGTACAAATAGACTTGATTGATTGATTAACTGATTGGGGTCTTTATTTGAGAAAAGCTTATTTCAGATGTAAAGTAAAACTGTGTCCTGGACGTAGCTGCTGAGCTAGCTGGCGCACAGACACTCGTTTAGATTTGAACCGAACGTGTTGAAGTTAAAGTGATGCAGAAAATACAAGAGGTGATGAAGATGAGGAGAACCACACTGATGAAGAGGAGCGAGTGGGTGGGTTTCTAACTCAAGCTGTTAGCGGTTAGCATCAGGATAAAAACATTTTCTCTGATTTATAAGAAATATTTTTTACAAAAGACAAAGATGTTACTTTAAACATCCTTTCATTACCTCCCAATTTGTTTTGATTTTGTGTTAGCCCCTGCTAATTAGCATCTGCTTATGCCATTAGCAGATGTTATTGGCATTAGCATCTGCTACTGGTTTAGCTAAAGCTAATGTTGTCAACTAACTTTATGAAGCAAAGCATTTTGAACTTCCCTGTTGTTGAAATATGCTGTGCAAATAATCTCATTGATAATTAGTGGTGTTAGCTCATGCTACTGGCATTAACTCCCGCTAGTGCTGTAGTTGTAGCTAATAGCATTAGCTCCTGCTGATGGTGTTAGCTTTAGCTAATCATAACAGTTGATCACAAGTAAATAACCTAATATTTTAGGTTAATAAATAAAGGAAAACATATTTAGTCAAATGCGTTTAGCTAGTTGAGAATCCCTTCAATAAACAATAACTATTAGCATAGCTATTACTGTTAGCCATTGTGTTGCCAGGTTGGTTTCACTCCAGGCCTTTGGTGATCAGAAAAAGAAACGGATGAAGCTAAAGTTACTGAATATTAGTCCGTCTTCTTGGTTCATGTGTTTCTGTACATTTTGTTGGACAGAAACAGAGCAGCTGCTAGCATGCAGCCTGCATATGAAGCGCTGCAGGTTTCAGGGCAGATGGCTCCTGAGCAGTCGATGGCCGCTCTGCTCTGGTTGATGCAGGAACCGCCAGAGGCAGGGTCGCCGCTGAAGGGGAATCGACTCCACTGCCCGTTAATTAACGCCTCCTGACTCTGAAACCTGCTTTTCTCTCCACACACAGGAACTCGTTCGCACTTCGACTCTGGAACAGATAGTTTCTCTGGAACAGATAGTTCCTCTGGAGAAAAACACCCGGAAATAAATATAATAATATATAAATTATAATAATTTATGTAAAAATCTTTTATTAAAAGATTTAAATGAAACTGATACTTTTGTCTTGTTTAGTTATATGTTAACAGGTGCAGGTTGGCTTCATTACCTCAAATCCAACTTTGTTAAGTTTGACTTAAGTTTAAATAATTAGCAAAATTATGTGGTATTATTTACCAAAATATTCACCACATTTGGGCTTCAGTATATTTAATTTTGGCATTACTACTCATATCATTCATTATTTATAAAAAAATTTTGAACTTTATTTCGGATTTTTATAATTTACTTTTTAATATTTTTTTCTATTCAATTTAATTTTAGCACTTTGTTTTTATTTTAATTAAATTGCCTTGTGTTTTTTATTTCATTTTAATCCTTTAATTAGATTTTTATTCTTTGATAAAATAATTTTATTCTCGAGTACTTTAATTTTAGTTTTAATAACCTGCTTTGTTTTCATTTTAAAACTTTATTTATTTCATAATTTTTTATGTAATATTTATTACCTCAGAATTTATTTGTATTTTTATTTATGTTTCTCTGCTCTCATAAATTCATCAAGTGAAGTTTTAATTGTGAAGAATCAAATCCTGCCGTTAATCTCAGTGTTTGTTCGACTCAGCCAGCAGGTGGCGCCAGATCTTTACTATAAGATACAAACTGAGGGCAGATTTTCTTGTTGTGCTTTAGAAAAGCTTTGATAATAATAAAATAAAACAGAATTGATCATGTTGGCAGCATGATTAAACAGAAATTGATTGATTTGAATTTAACTTAATATAACTTGATAAACCAACAGAATAATAATCAGATCTTACTTTTCATGTCATCCAGGTCAGCGCTGACCAACATCTGGGCCTCGGCCTCGTCGGTGGGCACCTGCTGGTAAACGGCGGCCTCAATGGCGGTCATGCTGCCGATGCAGAGCCGCTCCCGCAGGTCGTAGTTGCTGCGCTGGGCGGCCGGTAGCCGATGGTGGACGGCTTTCCGCCGTAGCCAGCCGCGGCTTGGCGCCGGACTGACGGCTTCCGACTCTTCTGACGCACTGACAAGATCAACACAAGGAAAAATCAGCAAATGTTTCCATTAGCTTCTGAATCAAGCTTTGTTTTATTTTAAATGACTAAATCAGGTTTTCTGTTGACACTGTGTGAATTGTAATGCCACAAGTTGGCCAGCAGGAGGCTCTGATGGAAACCTCTGAGTCATCAAAGCAACACGGTTCTGCCCGACCCAATCGCCATGGAGCCCCGGGCCTCCCGCAGCAAAACGCCATGCATGATTCACAGACTCAACAAATTATTCATATTCTGCTGGTCCTGCATGTCGGACGCCCAGCCGGCCCAATTAATGTGCAACAATCAGGGTTGGTAGGAGCCTGAAGAGCCGCGCCCAGAGCTCCATACTGGTTCAGTTACTGGTTCAGTTACTGGTTCTATGTAAAAACAAGAGAAGGAAAAATTTAACTCCTGTCATGTTTCCTATGACTTTATGATCCATGTTCAAAAGATTATCGGGTTTCAAATTTATTAACCAGCAAAATAAAATTCACCTTTGAATGCAAAAAAATATATATAAATATTTCTTTTATTATTATTTTTTATTCGTAAAGTTGTTTATTTTATTTAAAATTATTTATTTTCATATTTATCATTTTATTTTATCTTCTGTAATTATTTTATGACTATATATTCTTTATTAATATTCATGACTATTTATATATGTGAATTAAAAATGTTATCGGTGTATTCTTGAATTTTATCTATTATTACATTTCAGTATATTTTTTTATTTTCTATTCTGTATTTTTTTACATTCACAAAGAAAATCACTGGATTCAGCTGGGGTTGCTAGGTAACGGGTCTCAGCTGGATGGGGTTGCTAGGTAACAGGGCAGTTCCCTGGATGGGGTTGCTAGGTAACAGGTCTCAGCTGGATGGGGTTGCTAGGTAACGGGTCTCAGCTGGATGGGGTTGCTAGGTAACAGGGCAGTTCCCTGGATGGGGTTGCTAGGCAACAGGGCAGTTCCCTGGATGGGGTTGCTAGGTAACAGGGCAGTTCCCTGGATGGGGTTGCTAGGTAACAGGTCTCAGCTGGATGGGGTTGCTAGGTAACAGGGCAGTTCCCTGGATGGGGTTGCTAGGTAACAGGGCAGTTCCCTGGATGGGGTTGCTAGGTAACAGGGCCGTTCCCTGGCGTCACATTCGGGGAACTTTTGAACCAGTTTGTTCTCTAGAGCCTTAAAAACATTAAACTGTGACCAGAAAACAGCTGATGAGTTTTTTAAGTGTTTGGTTTGTTTTCAGACGCAGTAGAAACACAAATGAAAAGACAAAAACATGAGATATGGGGAAAAGAGATGGTGAACTTTTCAAACTGTCCAGGTTTAAAGGGGACTGCCAACCTTCGGGAAGCTGCTCGTCCTCCATCTTTCTCCGCGGTTCTGCCGTTATTCGCCGCCTCCTTTGTCAGCGTGAGCGCCATTTTGCTGGAAGCGGAACGCTTTTCGTTTTCCTCGAGGACGGCAGCGAGTCGTGACGGTTCCTCCAAGTCCTCTTGGCTCCCAAAACTAAACTGAGAGGAAGACGAAGCTCAGTGAGAAGAGAGGAAACGTCCATTAATTCAACGGGAACGTTTGTTTCTCCCACTTATTTTACCTGCGGCTGGATGTCCGGGAACTCGGTCGGCGTGGCGGTCGCCAGGCGTCCGTTGGCATCAGACTCCGCCTCTTCCTCGTCTACTTCCTGGATGGTGGGCGTGACGTTGGAGGGTGGCAGCGAGGTTTTTTTTTTCTTGCGTTTCTTCCTGTGCCTGCGGTCGGCGCCGTGCGGCCGCTTGCGCTGCGGCGCGGGCATGTGAGTGGATAACGGGTGGTGTGTGTGCAGAAACGCGTGTCTGTGATCTGCCAGCGAAACAAAACGTTAAACTGGATCTGAAGAAGAAAAACGTTCAGGGTTACAACAGCTCTGATTCACTTAGCTCTAGCTAAATGCTAGTTTTTACTAGCATTTATTAGTTAAATGCTGTTTAGTTTCTATTAGTTCTGATTGGATAATGAACACTTAACAGAAGATCAAATTGCATTCAATTATTCGTGAACAACTGATTTAAGCTAGCTTGGTTAGTCCACAAATGACAAACTTTTACTAGTTCACCAGTTTGATAGACAAATGGCTTGTCCATCAGCTAATGGCTAACTAATGGGTCTGTTTGCATAAATTAATTGCTCATGCTAATAGCAAGTCTGCCAGTAGCATAAGCATAATGGATGACTTATGCTAGCTTGCCTTTTTGTGAACTAGCACAAGCTGGCTAGGAAGATCACGGAGTGCCGTCATGTGGCGTAAACTGCATTAGAGGGAAAATAAAACCTATTGCAGTTCAAAAGGCTAATAAACAGATTCATGAACATAAAATATAAACAAATGATATAGGTCCAGTTAGTAATAGCCTTTTCCCATTAATGACCCTTTAGCCATAAACCAGCACATAGAAATAAATCAACATTAAGCTAAATGTGTTTATTTGACACCAGGCTTACACTCAAAGTCCTTCTCGGTGTAAAGGCGGCCCATTCGCTCGGCGCTGCAGGACGCTGAATCTCCGATGATGTCTCTGAAGCGCTCCACAGACAGAGCCTTCTCCCAGCTCTCCTCCTCTTCCTCTTCCTCCTCAGCTGCATCCTGATCCTCCACCTTCACCCGGAGGAAAAACAAACATTCAAAGTTTCCAACTCCATTTACACCCCAAGAAAACGGAATAATTCACGTTTTGATTTACTGATGATGGATGCTAACGCTAGGCTACACTTGTAACACAACACAAAGTCACAAAAATACGAGAATCAAGTCATAATAATATGAGTATTAATTTCTAAAAGTACAAAACTAAAATTGCAAAAATGTGAGAATAAAGTTGAGCCTCTTGTGAAGATTTAGTCTTAGTTTAATAAATCATAAATACCTCTGTATGAAAATGATTTGTTTGTCTTTAACTGCATTTACAGTCCAGGTAACTTCATTTACCTGAAACATTCAAAGGCCTTAAACTATTAATCTGATTGATTTTTATTTATTACTGAATATTTTAGAAATATTGTACCTTTGATCTGAGGTTATAATCCCAGAATCTCCCCCAGACAACAGAAAGACGGCCATGTCTTTAAAACTGCAGCTGCATGAAGGAAAACAAATCAATACTTCAAAGTGCTAAGCAGCAACAAAAAATAATGCACTGCTTTCCCTGGGGGGCGAGGGGGCGTGTCCTCGCCATGCGGAGCTCCTGATTGGTCAGAACCCTCAAACAAGTTGCTGACTCAGCGTCCGATTGGTGCTGACCCAGGAAGGAGTCTGATCCCAGAGCGGCCTCAAGTTTCTGAAGCGCCATTAGCGGCTAATCACCAGAGGGACGTGGGGACAGGATGCATTTAATGCGCTACCTGCTGCAGGGCGGCGCAGGCGAGGGGGGGGCAAGAGGGTTTCTACCGGGGCAAAACTCCAACCCTGAATTTATCAGATGGAAATGAACTTTTTCCACCAGAAAGAAACCATTTACCCTAACCTAACCTTAATAAATATTTTCTGAGCGTTAATAAGAGGAAGCTGCCGTGTTCCGCTTCAATGCACAACATTGTTCAAAATGAAGAGCAAATCCAGCAGCAGGAAGTTTTCCATCAGTAGGAATCAAGGATTATAAAGTCTCCATGTCCTTACAGAAAGATTATTTTTCTTGACAGACTGGAAAAGTTTCTGTTAAATACACCAGGCCAGTAGGTTGGTGCCACCCATGCTGAGTGTTTTAGTGAGATCAGAATCGTTTTTCCTTTGTAGCTGGTAGTTAGGCCCAGTTTTGTTTTATTAGCACAAACTAACTGTCCTTTTTCTCCTCACAGTCTGTGCAATCTTTGTGATTTTTGCTGAAAAAAAAATAAAATCCCATTTTTATACAACTACTGGCACCCAGTCAGTTTATTGTGGCTGATGTTGGTGGCAGCACTGAAATGTGCAGTGAGATCACGTGTACAACGTGTCGGACATCTTTCTGTGCGTCTTCGGTCCTCTGCTGCGGTTCTGAACCAAACCGCTTTCACACCATGCACAGACAACAGATACTAACGGCTGAACAGTCGCGGCTGCAGAGAGGACATAATGCAGTGTTGGGACTGACCCACCAGGATCTCTGAAACCCCCCAATGTGACGGTTTCTCCTCTCTAAGACGACAGGTGGCTTTGGAAAGCAGCCAAACATGTTATCAGATAATTCAGCAGAAGAAATGATCATCCAGAACAAAATCAGTGACTGTTTTGAGTCTGGAGAAGTGGAGGGTACAGAAAATATTTATTCTGAAGTCCTGAATGATTTAAACATTCAGAAAACAAAAAAAAGTTGTTGGATAACTGCTTCTGTTTTTGTTTAATATCTTTTGCATTTTATTTTCTTGTCATGCTCTTTTCTTTTCTGGTATTTCCACTCTCTCTTGTCTTGCCATTGATTTTGTCTGTTTATGTTATGTTGGAAGTTTAAAGTGAAGCACTGGCAGCTTTATAACTGGTAAAAATATTTGACCAGTTTCCTGTTTGCAGGTTTCTCTCTGGGTGCTCCGGCTTCCTGCCTCAGTCTAAAAAGATTTTAGATTTTACATGGATGATGGAAGAAAACAGAAACTTGTTTATATTATTATTATTATGATTAACTGGTCAGTGATGTAAACTTCTCCTGTGCTGCATTACGACACTTTCTGTTTTCAGTTTTAGAAATGACTGTAATCTCTCGACTGGAACAGATAAAACTCACATTAATTTGAAGGAATTCCTACCTGTTGTAGGTTAACCAGAACATCATGACCTCCAGTAGCCATGAGTCCAAACCGGCAGCCAACAGGAAGGGTCTCGACTCGCAGGCTAGCTAACACGGCCGAATGCTAATGTAGAGAAGCTAAAGGCAGGAACCTTTGTAGGGTGATGGAAGAGTTTAACGGGGTTAGGACTGAAGGGAAGGTACGGTTAGCGCCATGGGCGGAGGAGGGAACGGATCGGGTGGGAAACTGAGGGAACCTGGAGAAGGACGGGATCAGCCCTTCTCTTTCACCGCAGGGGGTCCAGGAATCCTTTGGGGTGGCATAACCTGAAGGGGAAAGACAAAACGAGACACATCAACCTCTGACTTATCACTCTTACCACTGGATAGCATAGCAACTGTTAGCTGGAGACGCCTGTTAGCCACTATAGCTAGTGACATCTGTTAGACGCAACAGCTAGTGACGGCTGTTAGCCGTGTTAGCTATTGACGTCTGCTAGACGCTACAGCTAGTGACTTAGCTGCTATAGCAAGTGATGATTGTTAGCTGCTATAGCTAGTGATGACTGTTAGCCGCTATAGCTAGGCATTGAGTCGTGTCAACAAAATTATTTGTCACAAATTTAGTTGTAGCTCATTTATTTCTTATCCAATTTCTATAAAATCAGGCTGAAATTACAGCTGAGGAAACTGCTTTTGAAATGTAAAATATGAATCTACTTAGAATGGCAGCTAGTGAGTATTTCAGTAATCAAATAAGTCAAGTTGTCACACTCTGTAGTGTGACAACTTGACTTCATGTTAAAGTGGTTAATTTTCATTTAACCACTTAAGCCTATTTGATTCAATATCTCAAATACACTAAGATGTAAATCAATAAATTCATTTTTAATAAGAAACTATATTTATTCTGAAGTCCTGAATGATTTAAACATTCAGAAAACAAAGAAAAGTTGTTGGATAAATGCTTCTGTTTTTGTTTAATATCTTTTGCATTGTATTTTCTTGTCATGCTCTTTTCTTTTCTGGTATTTCCACTCTCTCTTGTGGTATCTGGTATTTCTCTATTGTCTATTCCTTTGTAGATTAACTGATTCATTTTTCCATTAACCGATTTAATAACTGGAGAGCCTACAATCTCCTGATACGAGTTGTTTGTTTTATTTTTGGAGAATTTGAACCATGTGGAGCTCCTGACAGGCAAACGCTGGCTCAGCTTCTGCTCAGCGAACTCCATACTATTTACTACAATAATATCAAATGTCTGTGTAATGAGATAGCTTTGAATGGACCAGCTTTTAAACGACTGAAGGAGACGGTGATACATGAAGCTGGAGTAATACTCTGTTAGCATACAGTGTGGTCTAAAGGTGAATGATAAATCCCAAAACAGAAACTGGACAGGAAAATGAAACCTGTGGGCAACGACCTCTTCCATGGAAAGATGAACGATTGGTATCGAAATAAAGCAAACAGAGATGGAGCTAAAAAGGAAGCTAACCGGCTTCATCTTTAGCACTGAAAAGCTGCTAACGTAGCTTTGTCTTTAGCACTGAAAGGCGGCTAATACCGTTTCACTGTTAACACTGAAAGGCAGCCAGCAGAGATTTGCTGTTAGCGCTTTAAGGCGGTTAACATAGCTTTGCTATCAAGACAGATCTAACAGCTTGACAGTTAGCACCAAATGACAGCGACTAGAGCTTCAACTTTAGCACTGAAAGGCAGCTAACATAGCTTTGTCTTTAGCACTGAGGGGCAGCTAATAGCTTTAGCACTGAAAGTCATGGCTAACTCGCTCCACTGTTAGCATTAAAAACCAGAGCTAGCTTCATTGCCTTCATTATGCAATGTCCTTCCAGATCCTCTCTCCCAGCTTCTCCTTCAGTTCCTTTGAATGGGAATAAAATCAGCAGTTGCATAATTTATCAATAAAACATCTAACGTGGGAAAACATGTCACTACTTTCGCCAACAAATGGTACCGTTTTAATAAATCTTGAAGAAAAGTTCTTGGTTGTACAGATGGGTTGTTGTAAATGATAAAATCCTATGATTTGGGACTTTTTTTTAACACAGTTGGACTTGGCATCATTGCAGAGACATCTTGTAGTTTCACAGCCCACACTGACAAACTGACAGGTTTTTTCATGCACAGCAAACAGAGAGGAAGATTGTGACTTTACTGGAGTTAACCCAGTAAATAAAACGTAGCATTCTCCCAAAATGGTTGCAACAAAATTCAAATCTATACCCATTAAATCCAGAGTCTGAACAAGAAACTATCAGCAGACTCAGAATTTATTTGTACAAAATCAACCTGACAGACTTTTAGATTCAGCGCTCTGGTTCCTCTTTGAAACAAGTTACTCACCAGCAAGTTAGCTGCAGAATTTAGCAAATATGAAAACAAACTTAATATTTAGCAAATTAAACAAGTTAGAAGGTAAACATTTATTTTGAATTTTATCATATAAAGCTAAATACTTAGCTAGCAATGTAAATTAAATTAATGTTTAGTTTTTAAGTAAATTTAGTTTAGCTTCAAATGAAATATTTTCCTGCTAACTCAATATTTCATTTGAAATTAAATTATTAGCTTGCTAACTAAGCATTTAGCTATCAAGCTAAATATTTTGAAAACAATGTTTTGTTTGTTTGAAACAGAATATTTAGCTTATGAAATGTTTAGCCTCAAAGTAACAGTTTGCTAACCAAACATTTTGTTTAGAAACTGAGTACTTAGCTTGATAACGAAACGTTTTTTAAATAAACAATTAGCTTAACTAAATATTTAGCTTGCTAATTATACATTTAGCTAGATAATTAAATATTTCGTTTAAAACTGACCTTTATATAAATTGATGTTAAAAATAGAACTTTTTCTCTTATGACAGGTCAAAAACCCAAATGATGGCTGTTCATTTTTACTGTGTAGCTGAACAAGCAGCACATCCTTCCTATAGTTGCTTTCCACAGTAAAATATGAAACCTAATCGCTGGTTTGAAGCGCCCGCCTGCCGTGTGTCGCGGATGTTTGCTGAGTCATGATTCACTGACTGTCTCTCCAACAGGCTCCCTGTCCTGCAGACACTCCGCTGCTTGCGATGCATTTCCCGCTGCATCACCCAGCGCGCTGCAGCACGTCCGACACTAACGGGGGAAACAGCAGCCTCCGATTCTCCTGACGACACCTGAACACACCACGCTGCTATAAAGCTGCACAATCAGCGCTGTAATCTGCAGCTGCGATTTCCGCGCAACATGCGTTTCTTTGCTGCAGCCGCCCACTCGGGATTATTTCCACAGCTGCGGAAACCTACCTGCACCGTGGCAGCGCAGCAGTCCGGCTGCAGAGGCGGAAAGAGCCGATGTATCCCGCGGCTATGCGCGGAACCAGCCCGACTGCTCCGCGGTTCCGTAACCCAGTAAAGACACGCCAGTCTGCCCACTGGAAGGATGCGACACCACGTGACCGTGGACGGACTGCGAGAAAAAAAAAAAAAAAAATCAAACCGAAGACTGCTTCAGGGTTTCATCTGAATTAGAAATCAGATTTTCTGATTAAGTACAAAATAAAATAATAATAATGAATAAAAAATAAGGAGATTTGATGTAAATAGAAAAAATGAATAAATTCCTGTCAAAAATTGTATATTAATCTAGAAAATATTCAAGAAAAAAACAAGAGAATTTCTGAGATTGAAAACTCAAAAGATTTGCTAGAAGAAAATGTTTAATTTTGAGATTACATTCAGAAATCTTCTAGAAAAAAAATACATTTGAGTTTAAAAACATTTTTTGAAGTTGAGAATTTTTAATTTTTGGAAAAGTGAAACATTTTTATTTTTGGAATTTCCAAGTCTTTTTCTAGAACAAACATTTCTGAAATTGAGCTCAAATTTTCAACCTTTTTTCTAGCAATTGTTCTTGCTTTGGAAACTGAAATTTCTCCTCAAAGGATTCAGACTTACCAGAAATGTGCAAAACTCACAAACCCAAAAGTTCCACTCAGAATATTTCTACGTAAAGAAATAAAGTGAATTTTTAAATTTGAAGTAAACCCATGAAATGATTCAGTCAGTGGGCGGGCTCCTTACAGCAGAACTTGAATTGCTGAACTCTGTTAACCTCAGTCTGACAGTCATGGCCGCCCTTGTGATGGAAGATCATCATTAATGTTCACATTTTATTTGTTTTCTGCATCAGCTGCAATAAAACTGACATATATCAGTGAATTGTTATTAAATTATGTAAATATTTATTTTATGGTTTCTTTAATTAATGATTTATTTATGCATGTATATTTAATTTTGTATCTCACTATTTTCTCCTTATCTGCTGCTGATAGAAGAAAAACTGCAGACGATAAATCATACAAAACACAAATGGTCTCAATAAAACTTTTGCTAGCTTCATTAGCTAAGTGTTAGCTTCCCCCTCATACACACCTGCCTTCCTGCCTGCATTAAACGTTTTCTTGATAAACATTTTCCCTCCTTACCGGCGGCAGCAACAACAGCAAAAGCAACAACAACAACAACAGCAACAGCTAACCTGAACTCTTCCTCAACCTGTCCCTGGTCATCTTTCTCTCTCTCATCCTCCTCGACGATAATAAAGCCCCTGACTCTCTCTCTCTCTGACTCGCTACTTTCTTCTCCTTGTCCAACTGAATCTCCTGTAACGGTCAAAGTTACTGTGGTAATTAACATATCGGTTAGTTTGACACATTTTTCTGAATGGGCTGATGCACTTTTTAGCTTTTGTCGTCGTTTTTTCTGGCCCGTCTCATTCATTCCGCTCGTTTCGTCGGACTTCGGTTAGCATCAACCGTTAGCTAAAATGGCGCTATTTATAAACTCTGAGGCGAGGGGCGGGGCCAAGAAGGACCGAGGGACTTCATTGGATAAACCCAATGTCCGACAATAAAATCAACCAATGGGCTGTCGCGGTCGGTAAAAATTAGATTTAATATAATTTTTTGTTAAATTATGAGAGTGTAGGTCCGCCAGATATGGACAGTATGTAATTAGTCTGGACTCCAGACGGTCAGTCCACAGTGGAGGTGCGTTGCTCCAATTTCCACACCACTTCATACTTTTACCCGCATTTGGCTAGCGTGTGTGAGTGTGCGTGTGTGAGTGTGTGTGTGCGTGTGTGTGTGTGTGTGTGTGTGTGTGTGTGTGTGTGTAGTGCTAATTTCCACCTCTGATTTCACGTAAAGCTGCAAGAATCTGTCCAATAAAAACTCTCTGAAGTTAAATTCATTCATCCCTCCACTAGAGGGCAGCACAACTTCAAATTTAACACAATACTGAACTCAAAATGTGTTTCAAGGCTTTTTCATTTTTAATGACTCTTGAATCACTGGTAATGGTGATCAGTTCAATTATATGACAAACATTAAAATAAATTAAGGACTCTGCTTCACACAGAATGGATTATCAGCATTCAAACTCTTTCTTTTGTCTTTATTTACAGCCTTTATTCTTTACTAACCTCGTCTTTAACTGAAAAAAAGTTACCATACATAAACTAGAATGATTGAGAAACACTTTTTCCAGTTTTAGTTTAACTGGAACCAGGGTTAAGGTTAAATTTGATCACTTGAGAAGAGATGCAGCGTTTGTTTCTGCCCCTCTTTATGAAGCTGCTCCTTTTGGGTGATGATGTGCATGAGTTGTAGTTTGGTGGGCTTTGCCAAAAAAAACACAGTTAACGATTATCAGTAAAAAAAAAATACTACTAAATCTATAAAAACCTTCAAAAACCAAGACAAAAATGAAGTTGTTTCTTCATGATTGTTCATTAAGTTTATAGAAAGTGTTTGCTGATTGGATGATCTTTAAAGTGCAACTCAACCCTGAATTAACTTTCTTTTTTAAAATAAAGTGTCTAAATTGGTCCACATAGGTGCTATTTTAATATTTCTGGACATATTTGTACATTTTCCTGTAAATGTATTTAATTCTGCAACATTTTCCCAAACCGTCCCAGTGCTGCCCTCATTGGGGTGAACGGTGGTACTGCATGCGATTTTCCTATTGGTCCAGCTTGGTTGATGTTTATCTCACTCAGCACTGAAAGCGTCTCGCTCAGACGCGCCCCTTGGTGGCGAGTCGGGAGGTGGACGAGCAAGCATTGATCGATGGCGTTTCTCAACTTTGCACATTTGAGATTTATTGACATTGTTGACTTTTTGTTGCCATTAAAATCTCCAGAAGAAAATTATAAAAAGCGTTAGATTTATTACTGGTTGCTTTTTTTTTTAAGTTACTGAGACGTGCTGCTCGTTGCTTCTCTTGACAAAAATTAACTAGATTTGTCACTCGGCACTTTGTGACGAACTTGATCTGTTGCTAATCACTTATTTTTTAAAAAGTTTTTAGATTTGTTTCTACTTGCTTCTTGTTTTTTACAAAATAATCAGACGTGTCACTTTTTGGAAGAAACTAATGACATTTGTCACTACTTGTTTTTTGAAGTTGTTAGCTTTGTCACTAGTTGCTGTTTTGCAAAATCGTCACTAAGTTTGTAGCCATTTTTGTCACGAACGTTTTTTTTTTAAATGTATCAGGTTTGTTATTAGTGGCTCTTTTGAATGAAAGTCGCTGATTTGTTTTGCAGACTTTTGTTTGCAGAAGTCGTCAGCTGCTTTCCTTCAACAATGTCTGAATATATAGCAATATATTTTCTAAGTGTCCGGATGATTAACCGCTTTGACGCCCTCCACTCGTTCCCAAGCGTAGCCACGCCCCTCCAAGTATTTAAGCTCCGCCCACTTTCAAGTTTTTTGGGGCGGGGCTACATTCACAGGAGGTTGGTTGCTCTGAAAGCGGCTGGTTGCAGAGGATTTTGTTTGTGGGTATCGCAGTAAAGGGGTTGATTACAGATGGGGCTGTAATCAACCACCATAACATTTTAATGTGAAAAAATGTGTAAAAAAAAAAAAGTGTTGAGAATAATTTTGCAAGCTGTTGTAAATTTTAACTCATACATGAGATTTGAAAGCTGCAACCTTTTCTTATCAATAGAAAAAAAACAACTAATCAGTGAATCACATGATCAATGATCGATTTGTTTATTTTTCTACAAAAGTTTGCATATTAAAAATTTTTTTCCAGTGTTGAATGTTCTTCAGAAATTGAAATTGTTTTTTTTTTTTTTTTTTTAATCTTTGCGAGGATTTGGATTAATGTTCTCTTACTACCAGTTGAATATTTTTGTTTTCACTGCAACAGTTTCTGGAACAATTTATCCAGTAAAACCTTGTTATTGTAAAAAGTTTTCTTATTTATAAGCATCCAAACTTTTCTGTGAAAAACTTCCTCTTTTCCACGGTGGCCGAAAGGCGTAAATACGCATCAAACACATGAATGATGCAAACTCCAAAATGCATGAACAGAATCTCAAACTTTTTAAACCAAATTTGATGCACAATTTTAATATAATACAGAAATAATACAATTTTCTTCTTTGCAAAAAATTACAAATGACAAAAAATGTTTTAAAAAATGATTTTTATTTCAGCCTTTCCTTCTGTGACTTGACCTGAATTCAAACTTTAAAAAGGAAAAAGAAAATGATTGTCAAACAAGATGGTAGTTCTTAGCTACGCTAACATTACTCTCCATTATGGAAGCCCAAAAGTACATTGGTGAAAAAAAAAATCCAAAAATGAAACAGAAAATTTGACAAATCTATAAAATTGATTTATCGCCTTGCTTTACACAAACACACAAAAAACAAATCTAACATTAAAAATGCTGCTGTCACAGAAAATAGAAGTGGGAGAGAAAATGCTGCGCATCGCAGAAACAGGAAGTATAAAACACTGCATACTCGCTTTACTAAAGTCCTCCTCACCACTAGAGGGAGTCTGAAGTTGGTCATGATAGCTACATAAAAATGATGCTCAAAGATTAGCACACATTCTCTTGCTTCCTCAAACTTTCTTTCTTGAAGGTCTTCTCCCAGATGATTCGGCGGCTGATGCCCCCTGGTGGTTTGGAGGACCTTACAGTTTGCAGCTTCTGTTTCCTGTTTTCTTTTGCGTTTGTTTTATTATGTTTGTGTGTTTTGGAGTTTGAATCATTCATATGTTTGCATAATAAATGCTGGTGACAGAAGATCCTTTAAAAAAGAGAAAACTTGGTTCATGTTAGCGCCGCCTCCAGCCTGACAGGACCTTCATTAATTTGACAAAAACTTGGGCGATTAAAAAGCATTCAGTTTAATTTGTTGCAAAGCAAAAAGTACAAAGCAGACAGCCAGTTATTCTAAAAAACTGAATATAAGAAGGATTTCTAGAGCGTCATTATAAGTCCAGAATACGGCAAACCGAGAACTGGCGTGCATTGGATGGTGATATTTGCGCTACCTGTTGCGGTACCGTTTATTTGGGTCAAAAGTCACCACACAGCACTTCACTCGTCCCTCCATCATCTTTATTTACACCTCAAGCATCTCTGCAGCGGGAGAAGAGATCACTTGGAGAACAGCACCTGGGAGGACAGATCTACACGGGTTTCTGAGCGTCGGTGGCGAGGTAGCTAACTCGGAACGATCCGATCCCCCGCCTGGCTGTGCGGCGATCCGGGGAACTCATCATCCGGGGCTGACTTCCCCTCTATAGCACCACAATGTGTTCAATTCAAAGATAAAAACAGAATTCTCATTAAAAACAGAAACAACAATCATAATAAAAGCAATGAGAGGGGGACACGGGCTTATGAACAGCAGCTCTCAGTTACTTTGTGTCCAATTTGTGGAGTGAAATTTGCTGCTTGAAGCTTTGAGCAAACAAACACGAGACGACAAAGGAATGATTGAGGTTTTTCTTTTTTTACCAATTATTTTTCTTAAAAACCAAACATTCATACAAAATTAGAAATCTTGGATGTCATAGTGTGGGTGAAAGGCACAATAAATATCCTGCCACAGGGCCAGAAGAGTCCTCAGTACTCTGACCATGTCAGCTGTCAGTCCAACAGTCTCAGGAGGTTTACAAGAAGCACACGGGCCCGATGTCGATGCCGAACTCCTGACTGGGGCCACCAATGTCCACAGGGGCCAAATCCACTATGGGAAGTCTCGCTGTTTTCTGTGTCCTGTACTCAAACACTGTCTTGCCCCAGCTGCTGGACGCTTGCTGTAAAACAGAGAAACCAAATCAGTTCCTGACGGCCTGAAGGCTCCGGGTGTTTAAACCAGTACGAATAACTTTTCCTTCAAATAATTCCTAACTTTAGCATTAGCTTTTGCTAAATACCATGTTGGTTTCATTATGTTAGCATTAGCTTCTGTTATATATCATTAGCGACATGATTAGTTAATGATTAGTGCTTCAGCGTTAGAGCAGCTAACGTTTGGCTAGCATCAACCGCTGCTGGATTTATTGAATCGGTTTCCTGAAGCCGTTCCTCTCTAACATATCTGGGACAGTCTTAGAGGAGGCAGTCTTTCTCTGTCGGTGTTTCGGGGCGATGAGCGTACCGAGCAGGAGTCCTCCAGCACCGTGTATCTGAAGCGGTTGTTGCCCTCGGCTTTCAGCTCCAGGTCGTTGGAGCCTTTGAGGATCACGGCTTTCTTCAGGTTGCCCGCCTTGGCGTCGTTGTAGCCCACGGAGTTCTTGCAGTGATAAGTGACGGTCTGAGACGCCTCCTTGGACAGCAGGCGGATGAAGGTCATCTGCACCGTGACGGAGTTCGCCGGCTGATCCCTGTTGCCGTAGGTGAACTGGAAACACAGAGAAGAGTTAGCGCAGTGCACGAAGATCCTCTGGTCAGGCTGAAGAGGTTCTG